CTTTATATTACCATCTCATTATTACACCTAAAATATTACAGTTTCTAAATATTATCCGATATCTAATCCATATGCAAATTTCTCCTATTGTCCCAAGAATATCTTTCATAGTTGTTTTACTCCTCCCAAAAAAGTGATCCAAAGTTCACTTATTGTATTTAATTTTTCTCTTTAGTCTCTTTTATTTAGACCATTTATTTTTTCATAATACTGACTTTTTAAAGAGTGCATCCCAGTTGTCATATAAAATTTCCCGTATCCCAGATTTGTCTGATTGCCATTTAATTTGTTGATCTCCCCAAGTATTTCCTATAAACTGAACTGTGAGTTCCAAGACTTGATTAGAATTGGACTGAACATTTGTTTAGTCAGGAACACATCCACAGCAATACTGTGAGCTTGATGCTGTACCCTAATCTGGAAGCCCGTGGTGTCAGCCTGTCCCAGTCCTGCCAAGTTTGACCAACTTGTCTAAGGTGGGGACATACAGATCACTCTGTGGTGTTAGCTGTGGGCTTGTCACGTATGCCTTTTATTATTTTGAGATATGTTCCCTTTTTGCCTGATTTGTTAAGACTTTTTGTCATGAATGGATGTTGAATTTTGTCAAATGCTTTTTTTGTGTCTGTTGAGATGACCATATAATTTTTTCCTTTTATTCTCTTAATGTGATGTATCATACTGATTGATCCTTATATGTTGAACCATCCTTGCATCCCAGGGATAAATCCCACTTGATCATGGTGTATGATCATTTAAAAATGCTGCTGAATTTGGTTTGCTACTATTTTAGTGAGGACTGTTGTATCTATATTCATCAGGGATATTGGTCTATGACGTTTTTCTCCTTCTTGAATTTTTAAGTGGTTTAAATATAAAAATAAGGGTATTAAAATTTTTTATTTATGATGTGTATTATTCTAAATTATTTATTTTTAAATTACACTGATGAGGATAAGAGTCCCCAGAAGACTGTGGGGGAAAATGATGACGATAATCTTTGCTTTCTTCCTGATTATGATGGGAATGATCCTAACGTTTCACCGTTAAGTCTGCTGGTGGCTTCTGATTCCTTATCAAATTGAGAGTGTTTCTTTCTGTCCCTTTAATAGGAGTCTTATGATACACGCTGAATTTTGTCAGATGCCTTTTTGTATTAATTGAAATGATCCTAATGTTTAACTCATTTGACTGTTAATATAACCAATTATAGTAATAATTTTCCTAATGTTGAATCAATACTTTATTTTTACAACACACTCTATTTAGTCATGATGTGTGGTTCTTACGATAGAGTTCTGGAATTCATTCGCTTCATTTTATTTATTATTTTTATATCCTTAGTCAAAATTAAGATTCAGTTTAAATATTTATCTTTGTGATCTCTGTGTTTCGTTGGGTATCTGAGTTATTTTAGCTGTGTATCACTAAGTGGGAACCTTTCAGTCTTCTATTATCTGCAACTTACTGTTTGCTTAAGGTTTTGCAAAACTCATCCAGCAAAACATTTTGGCCCTAGTTATTTATTTTCTTTTTTCTCTCTTCTTTTTCTGTAAAAAAATATTTTTAGCTTTTTTGAATTGTATTTTAAAAGTAACTCATCAGTACATTTTTCACTATCGAAAACAAAAAATATGGGACTATGGTTCCCTTCACTCCCTCCTAGCACTGATTTCTTCCTCAGAGGTAACCACTGTCAAAGGTTTGGTGAAGGAGGATGAAGAGTTATTATTTAGTGGGCTCAGACTTTCTGTTTTGCAAGATAAAAATATTCTGGAGATGGATTGTGGTAATCTGTCTTACCCCACTCCCTGGCAACAACTAGTCTATTTTCTGTCTCTGTGAACTCGACTACTTTATATACCTCACATAAATGGAATCATATGGTATTTATCCTTTTGTAACTGGCTCATTTCACTTAGCATAATGTCTTTGTGGTTCATCTCTGTTATATAGCATGTGTCAAAATTGCCTTCCTCTTTAAGGCTGAATAATATTCCATTGTGTATATTTATCACATGATATCCTTCCACTCATCTGTGGCTGGTTACTTGGGTTGCGTCCATCTTTGGCTGTTGTGAATAATGCTAAGAATATGGGTGTACAAATACCTGTTTGAGTCCTTGTTTTCAATTCTTTTGGGTGTACCCAGAAATTGATTTGCTGAATCATATCGTAATTCTACATTTAATATTTTGAGGAACCGTTTTCCATAGTGGTTGAATCATTTTATAGTCCCAACAGCAGTTCACAGGTGTTCCAGTTTCTCCACAACCTGAACAACACTGGTTGTTTTCTGTTTTTTATTTTTTGCGTTTGTTTATAATGGCCATCCTCATGGGTGTAGAGTGGTATCTCCTTGCGGTTTTGATTTGCATTTCTCTAATGATTAGTGATGTTGAGCGTGTTTTTATGTGCTTATATTGTCATTTGTATATCCTCTTTGGAGAAATGTCTATTCAAGTCCTTTGCCCATTTTTAAACTGGGTTGCTTTTTGTTGTTGTTGAGTTGTAGGAATTCTTTATATATTCTGGATATTAACCCCTTATCTGATAGGTGATTTGCAAATATTTTCTCCTATTCCATGGGTTGCCTTTTCACTCTGTTGAGAGTGTCCTTTGATGCACAAAATTTTGATTTTGATGTAGTTCAAATTATTTACTTTTTTCATTTGTTGCCTATGCTTTTGACATCATATTCAAGAAGTCATTGTCCATATAATTGATTTTTAACTTGCTTTTTTATTCATCAGTATATATGTTGGCAGTCTGTCCACACCAAGTAATGTGGCTTCTTATCATTACTTTGATCAGTTGTAGAGTATTCCTTAGTATGGCTATGCTGTTGTTTATTTAACCCCTTCTGTAATGGTAGATATTTAAATAGTGTTCATTGTCTTTTACACGTATGTATATTAAAAACAAACAAACAGAAAATCTAGGAAGAATATTTATCGAAGTGTTAGAAGTGATGATCTCTGAGCAGCAGGATTAGAATTACTTTCATTTTGTCTGGTATGCTTTTTTTTTTTTTTTGCATTTTCTGATTTTAATAACAAACAGGTATTTTTATTTAATAAAACTTGTACACAAAACAAGTCAGTAAACATAGTGACATCCTTTGATCCAACAATTTCACCCCAGAGGCTATCAAAGACTTGTTCTCTGTAAGTTAAACAAACAAAACTCAACATCTACTTGAAGTGATTCATACGGTTGGTTAATGTCCTAATGTCATTTAGCAATAGACTTAATGTTCAAATAGAGGACTGGGGGAATAAAATTTCATATATGAGCTTCGATTATTTTATTGCCATAAAAATTAATTTCAGGATATGTAATGATTAATGACATGAAAAAAAAAACCCTGCAAGGACCAGGATTTCTACTAGATAATTATCTAGGCCAGGGATTATAAAAATTTTTTTGGTAAAGGGCCAAATGGTAAATATATTAGGCCTTGTGAGCTATATTGTCTCTGTTACAACTGCTTAACCTCTGCATTTGTATGGCACAAACAGCCTTAAATGAATGAGTATGGCCTGAGGGCCCACCCCTTCAAAACCCTCCCCATCAAAGCAGGTAGATGAGGCCTGGGGAATGAAGGCATTTGAGGGAGTAAGCCAGTGCATTTACTTAAAGCTTTTTTTTCATGTTTAAAAAAATGTATTTAAATGAAATGATGTGAATGGTATTAATATGCCTTATACAGAGTAGCTGCTTTCCAAAGATTTCTTGACAGTAAGATGGAAATGAAATATAGTTCAGAACGCTTTGCAAATGCCCCAGTTCTGATTGAGTTGCTTATTTTCATGGGCCTTTAGTGCACAACGTTTTATTACTTTTGTCTTGTGTTCTTTCCCAGGGGAAGAAAATGTAATTGCTGTTCCTCTGGGGAGTCGAAGTGTGAGAATTACAGTGAAAGGACCTGCACATCTCTGTAAGTAGAATTTAATCTTAACATGCTTTTCCTTCCTAAAAATTTATTTAGCGAAAAAAAAAATCTTTCTTTGGGTTAATGGATAGGCAGACCAACATCTTAAGGATTTTGCCTCCCAGTCTGAAATAGTCCGTATCACTAAGGGATGATCTATACCCTGAATTTTTCAGTTCTCTTGCCCTAGTAGGAAATATACCAGCTCGGGATTAATCTCTTCATGGGAGAAGAAAGCGAGTTATGTGAAATAAATTGTTTTTATATGGTGAGTAAACTAGGATTTGAGACTCTTCTGCAGATTTTAGCAGTTGGGGACAAAAAAAAAAGCAAAACAAGATTTAAAACACAGTACATACAGCTGACAACTGTAAGTTTGGTTGCCAGCACATCATGACCTCCGGTCTGGGGGGCGCTGAAATTACATGCTGGTTTCCCAGAATATGGAGAGTTTGAAACAATAGAGGATTGAAATTGTATTGTTTCTTTGGCCAAAGTGACATGGCATCTCCTCTGTCTTAGCCTTTCTGGTCTCTTAGGACCTAAAAATACCAAAGTTCTGCTTCTCTCCCAAGGTCTCCTGTGGCCACAGGCACAACTTTCTTAGGCTTTTCCCAAGGAACATGGGCCTTGGCCAAGACTGGGTCCCTGGCTTCTTGAGAAGCTTACTATGTTCAGCACGATATTTCTGTAAAAAGTACAAAACTGTTTGTAACTGTTTTAAAGCCACACAAATCAAGGTCCACTGGATTAAAATGCTACATATTTTGCCATTTTTTTTTTCTGAGCCACCATCTTAGATTTTTCAAATCATAAAAATTTCTCAGGGCCACAAGCATTGTACCTTTTGGGGAGCTTTTAAATGTGTGTGTGTGTGTGTTTGTATATTTTGGATTCAGTACTGATACTCTAACTGGAAATGTCCTTTGAGAAAAATTTATATCAAAATGTTAAAGTAAAAATGGTTAAGGTTGCCAAGGGTATAGATTAAAATCTTAAAAAAGAGAAAGAAACTCTGTAGTATATTATGACCTAAATTAGAGAAGCAAGAAGATAGCTTTAGAGCAGTGAGGGTGAACAATGATCAGAAAGTCTTTTTTTAAACTTTATTATATGAATTATGACTAAAAGAATGTGACTGACTTATTTAACTAAAATATTAAAATGTTTACCTCTACGTAATGGGCAGTTCCCTCAAGGCTTTCTCTATAATGAAGCATCCAAACATTTTAAACGGCTTAAAAAAGCCACAGCTCTTGATGAGAGTAAGTCTTCATTTCTGTCAGTGCAACCTTGAGGTTTGACGACAGGTGAAAATCATTCAGATCCAAATTTTGTGACTCATTTGAGTGATCACATTGTGAAATACCATTTTGGATTCAAAACTATGAAGTGCTGAGCAGCATAATTCACAATAGCCATAAAGAGAGAACAACCCGAATGTCCATCAGTGGATGAATGGGGAGATAAAATGTGGCACGTGTGGAATATTATTTGGCTGTAACAAAGAATGAAGTCCTGACATACGCTACAATAGATGTGATCCTTGAAAACGTTATGCTAGGTGAAAGAAGCCAGTCACAAAGGCCACATACTATCCGATTCTATTTCTATGAAGTGTCCAGAGTAAGCAAATCTGTGGAGACAGACGGTAGATTGGAGCAACCCAGCTCACTCCTATGGCTCCTACGGCTGGAGTGAGTTGGATTGCTGGGAGGTAGGGGGCAGTGACTGTTAATGGATATGGGTTTTCTTCGGGGGAATGATAAAAATGTTGCTAACTTAGATTGTGGATATGGTTTCACAATTCTGTGAATATACTGAAACTTTTGTGAAACCATCTTTCAAATGGGCGAATTTTATGGCATGTGAATTTTACAGCATATCGAAAAAGATGTTTTAAAAAAGATGCAGGGACTGGGCCTGATTTTCTCGTGATGCTAAAGGCAATTCTTAAAAATTCAGCTCTAAAAAGTTTTATAAGCTCTATAAACAGAATAAGTAGCCAGTAAACAGGTTAAGTAAAGACGAATACTTTGAGGCCAAATGTTCATTTATGTACATATATGTTCTGGCATATTAGACATAATCTTATACTCAAAACTGGCACTGCTACAAGAACGGGGTTCAAAAATATTCCCATTTCTCCAAAGGTGGCAGATCTGTTGCTTGGAATATTTTTCCTTCCGAATAATCTCAAAATTGGCTCTAAAAGTGTTTCTGAAAGTTATCCTTCTCTGCCAGTGAATAGAATGAACTGGCTTCATTTACAAAAGATTTAGTTAACATTTCTGAACATCTACATATAGAAGCAGCTTTGTTTTCTTGATTTAGATCAATGTTTTCTTAATTTTTATTCAAAGATATATTCCTGAAATTAAGCGTACTTTGCAGTGATAAATCATTCTTTTCAATATTTGTACTAAGTACAGCCCTCCAAAAGTCTGCATCATTGAAACTGGAGAACACCCAGTAACGTAATGTTAGTCTCTCTGCTGTGGAATGGAATTTAATTACAGAACGTCCATCTCACATATTGCCTAGAGGTGCTTAGAGCCTAAATTTCCAGTCCTTTTGTAAGCTTGGCCTCAGCGTTATACCAAGCACACAGCTCCAAATTTTCTCTAACATTTCAAAAATGGAAACAATACGAGGGTTTCTGCAAAAGAGATTTTATTGTAGAAGAACTTCAGCATTAAGTGTGTTTGACTAGCAATAAACCTGAGAAGCCAAGATGCCATAAATTGGAAACCTCCATTATCAATTGTAAGAATTGGGGTCTTTTTGTCCTTTACGCCCTGTCTAATGACCATATATAGAGATGCATAAATATGAACGTGGACACTGTGCATAGTGAACAGTCAGAGGAAATGGAAGCTGAGCGAAGTATGCAAGTGTAAAACCCAACCCTTAGCCTCAGTTTGATGTGTTTATAGCCAAGTCAGCCGTGCAGAACGCTCATTACATGTTTGGTGGCCTTCTAGGAGTTTAAGGAGACCTCTTGGGGCTGATTAGCATGACCCTGTCTCTTTTCAAAGACTCCTGGACTGAGTCTTCTTAGGGCAAGCCCTTCAGCTAGAAGCATTTGGAAGCATTCATCATCCTTCTAGCCGTTCCTTCTGAAAACAACTGGTCTGGGTCAAAATAGTTAAAGGCACCATTGTAGACTTGAGTTGTGAAGATTTGTGGATATAAGAGGGCCTTGGTTTCTGATCCTAGTTTTCTCTCTTTGAGGGCACACATCATCTCTTCCTTGACTGCTCTCTGCAACCTCCATCATGTTAAGCCTGAAGAGGGAGAAAAGGCAGCAGTGGGCAGCAGTGGAGCTGGGGGGGTGTTTACAGGTTTGCTGGGCTCTCCACCCAGCACTAGCTGCCTTGCTGCAGAAATCACCTTGAGTCTGTGAAAGCTCTGAGAACAGAAGGGCTCTGCGTGCAGCTGTCCTGAGCTGTGAATTGCACATTATCACAACATAGGGCTACAGTACCTACCTGGGAATGCTAGCAATTAATTTTAAAAAAATGTATCCGTAAGTCAACACGTCATCTGAATTGCTGACTTTCTCAAACTCCTTTTCCGCCAATTTTATAAGAGGCACGGGCACTAAGGAGGAGCAAGGTTACCACCAGGAAAAGTGACGGCTTTTGAAGAACAATACTTCCCTCCACTTTATTGTGAATGCATGCTAAGTGGCTTTGTTAAGCTAAACGATCCGAGTTGTTTGCATCCATCTGTCAGCCATAAAAAGGTGGCTTCGTCAGATCACTCCCCGTGTCTGCACTTACCCACTTTGGACTCAACTTACACAGTTGAGGTCAGAGCACCTGCTTTTGACCTCCTCTATATGCAACCAGGGTTTGTGAGTGGGAGCCCTCTGAAATCATTGGAATAAAGACATTTTATGATAAGTGGGGGAAAAGAGCGGTTTGGGTAATTCACATGCACTTGAAAATGGATTTTCCTCCTTGTTTTCTCATATCCTTGTCACAAAAAATCTTGGACACCGTTGAAGCAATAGAATAGACTCAACATCCAAAAGAACCCCCCAAAACAAACAAAAAAACAAACATTAAACTAACGGAAATCCTGGCCTTTGGTTTAGAAGATGGATGTCAGACTGGTCTTCCCTTCCTCCCAGATCGCCTTCCCAGATTCTGATCCCCGCTTCCCACCATCACTCTGCAGCCAGACGAAACTTGGACCTCTGTGCTCCGCAAGGTGAGCACAGTGGTAAAACATTCACTGCCCCAACACAGCCGCCCAACCCTTGCACACTGTTTGAATTTCATCAAGTCATTTCAGGCTAAATCTCGGTCTAGAAACTCGGTACTTCACTTGCCTTCTTCTTCGCGTGGATGGAATTCGTCCAGCTTCATTTGGGTTTGATATTACTGAGTGCTCACCATTTTTCCTCCTTTAAAGGACTGATTCCTCCAGCATAGGGCCCTCTTCCTGTCTCCGGTTTCCCATCTCATTTTTACTGACAACTCACTTTCTAACACTCAGTTTTATATCTTCATTGGAACTAGGAAATGAATTTAATCTCACACTTTCCAAAAACCCACTGCGGTCATGGAGCTCAGGGCCAAAGTGGTTGGGGTTTTGCGCGCCTGAGAGTAGCCAGCATTATTCTTTGACCGCTAATGACTCCTGCAGATCAAGTAGCTCCTGTCCAGCCTTTGAATTTTCCCAGAAAAGTTCCCAGCCTGCCTGTCAGGGATAATCAGGGATGTCTCCTAATGCCTGTTATGCAGTCTGTCCAGGGCGCTTGAACTCCTGCAGCTGCTCCAGTGGCAGAGAGAAATCTGGCAACGGAAAACAGCCCAGCACAGCAGCGTGTGGGCTGCAGCCTCCTGGTGCCACATCACTTTGTTGTGTTTTATCAGCGTTCCATTTTTAAGCTGGAAACAGAGTGAAGTTCTGGTTCTGTTGTGTGCTTTGTTCGAGATGGCTAGAGAACCATTGAATACCAGTGAGTCAAGTGTAGGTTCCAGAGTAGAAGAGGTCCTGGGAGGTCGTCTGTTCTGACTCTCTGTTTTAGAAATGAGGCAGTGAAAACCGAAGGCAGTGAGTGAGGGAGAGAGCTGAGGCCAGAAATGCAGGCCGACCAGGTCCATCAAGTGTGGTGACATTTGCAAAGTGAAAGAGAAAAAAAGAGAAGGGAAAGAAAGAAATCACTTAAATAAAGAAGTGTTATTTTGGTTAAACCGTCAGCATTGTTCTGAAGGAAATCTAAAAGCACTACTGCTCATTTAATAGCAAATGTGAATTAAGAGGTAACACACGAGAGAGACCTTGGTGGTGATGGAATACTTCTGTATTTTGATTGCGGTGATGTGTGCCAAAGTGGCACAGAGCCGTACGCACACATGGTACCAGCGTCTGCTTCCTGGTTTTGATGGTGTACTGTAGTTATGTAAGATGTAATCATTCCATTGGGTAAAACTGGATGAAAGGTACACAGGACCTCTCTACTATTTTTGCAACTTCCTATAAATCCATAATTATTTCAAAATGAAAAGGTTTTTGATGCAAATTAAAAATTTCCTGTGGTTTTGTCTAAATAAAAAGTCTAGGCTTAAGATCTGAAAGGGTGAGAAAACGAGTTACACAGCTTTACTTTAAGTGACAGCAGCATCATAAAAAAATAGAGATGTTTTCTTCTTCCCTTTTTGTAGAAATGACTCCAAAGTGTTGAGTAGATCTAACTGAACCTAACACTCTTGTTTGCTCTTTTTTACGGGCAACTAAGATCCTTACCTTCCACCAATACGAATCAATATGTTTGTAAATTGAGTGGATGTATTGATAGTGTGTTAGTATCATCTATGCCATTACAGGTAGTTAAATGGCTTTTGAAATAAAATGCTTTTACGATATTCTCTGATTTAAACCTTATTTTTAAATTTTAGTTATCGAATCAAAAACACTTCAGGGAAGCAAAGGCGAACACAGCTTTAACAGCCCTGGAGTTTTTGTCATAGAAAATACAACCGTCGAATTTCAGAGGGGCTCAGAGAGGCAAACCTTCAAGATTCCAGGACCTCTGATGGCTGATTTCATCTTCAAGGTAGGATGAGCTTCTTCGTAAATGGTATGCCTCTGGGGCCCAGCACATCTGGAATTTTAAAAGCAATTAAGTTTGGTCAGCAGCAGCCATCAGTGACCATTTTCACATCGGGCATGTGTCATTAGGAGTTCCGTCTGGACAGTCAGTTCTTAAAGATTGTTCATCTCTCTCACGTTTCTGCTCCTCAACCCCAAAGGTCAAGAAACAGACTTCACTTTTAGAATGGAATGATGGCTTTTGTGTTTATGGCGTCTAGCTGCTGTGTTCAGCTTTAAACGTCTAGATGGGGTCTGGTGGCCATGGGCAGTGGCTAAACACTCTGTGTCTTGACCCACGACTGTGCTGTTATTGCACGTGCTCGGCTTCCAAAGGGGAGAAGAGAAGACAGAGATTCATTCCTCACCCTCCTGTCTCTTGTCCTTGGTGCTGTCCCATAAGGACCATTTGTCTAGGTACCTGGCACAAGTTACCTAGAACCCTTCTTCCCTGTACCCACGAGTCTGTGTCCCCTCTTTTGGGTAAATTAGGGGCCTCTTCCCTCACTCAGAGGATATGAAATGTAGTGGCCAATATATTTCCAAGGTGACACCATCTGAAATTCTTCTGATAAAACTGAAAATACCTAAGACGTGCAAAAAGAGGGGTTATTTCAGTGGATGGTATGTCTGATCCCTTTTTAGAATACATTCAAAATGGAATGGAAGAAAGAAAATAGGTTTAATCTCCAGGAGTATCTTTACCTGAGAAAAGACCCAGTGCCTTGAAAAGAACCTTCTATGTTCCACATTAATTTGTCAACGAATGTTTCGTTGAGACATCAGTTGTGCCACCAGAGAAATGTCTTTGGAGTTAGATGAGAGTTGCTAACTGATGTCCTGTTGGCAGAGTCCAAGTGTTGGTCTGGGTGGTGGTGTTGTTTCGAAACTTCAGATTTTAAATGGTCAGCCTCTAAAAATCAAGAGATTTTAGCATGAAAATACCAGGGGGCTTTTCTTGCTTCTCTTTAAAAAGGGAAAGACGTGACAACCAGCTTGCATTTTGCCATAGCAATAATTGGCCGGGGCTGGGTAACACTGCCTTCTCATCAGGGCACGCTCTCCCCTTGGCCATGGTCCACACCACTCCCCAGTGGGTGCCTGATATTGAAGGTGTGAGTGTCAGCTGCTGTTCATAGACATTTAAGTTGCCATTCCTATACATCATTTGCCATTCATGGACTTTGGTGTCAGACCCTTGAAGCATCAACTCAGTGTTATTCTTTGACAGTAGCATTTCGAAAGGCTTTTGGGGGAAGCCATGACTGTCATCTACTTTTCTATTCTCTTTCTCTCGTCTGTTGCTGGGCATCAATTCTGGCCTTGGTTTGCTCCTGTTAGGGTTTTTCCATTTGATTCTCAAGTAGTAAAACACACACACACAACTTTTAAAAAAAATTCTCTTTTCATTCCTGCTCAGAGGATCTGTATTCTTCTCAAGTCAGTTTGGAGAGCTCTGACTGAGTAAGGGACATTTGCATAATGATGGGATGGGAGAAATAGCCACAAAGTTTACAATTTTAAGGTCCTGTTTGGTAATAGGATCAGCACGGAAAACATACCACCTATTGATCCCATGCATGAGAATATATATACATATAAACACACATATGTATCTATAAACTGTTTACTTGTTTTCAGTAGACACACGTATATGTATATGAATATGTGTGTGTGTGTGTATATACATTTTGTTTTAAGATTTGAGAGGCTACATTGCAAGCTGAAAACACTGAAGAAACAATGGTTACTTTAGAGGGGACACATCAGAGATGCCTTGGGGCAGTGATCTTGGTTTTACTTATAATATTCTAGTGCATAAAATAATTTTTAAAAAGAATCCAGTCATTTCTCACATGTGTAACTAAAAATTACTTTATACCTTCTTGCCCAAATTATATATTCACATCTTAATAGAATTTAGCAGCGTGTTGCCACTGTCTGAATTTGTACTCAGTCTTCTGTTGTCTCTGAGTTCTGATTTTCTCAGATTTAATAAAGAATTCTGGGCTTTCACTTCCACTTTTGGAAAGCTTTTGATCTCTCTTGATTGGGAAGTTTTCAAAAAATAATATATATTCATATTTATCAAAGAGGGTATTACACACAACTGTCTGACTTATGTGTAAACGGAACCTCATTTTCATGCCTACAGCCATTTTCTTTCATGAATACGGTGTTCTCAGTGGGAGAGAATTTGGCAAAATTGGAGACACTGTGATGAAGCAAGGATGACTCTGATGTTTTTCCCTGACTTACAGGCGTGTCCAAATACTGTGGGTTTCTAGGAAATGTCCTTTTCCATCAATTACTCTTTTTTTTTTTGCTTGGAACACTGTATTAGTAAGTACCCAGCTTCCATTGTTGCTAAGATAAGGAACTCTTTGCTCCCATGCAGCTCTTTTTGGCCCGGGATGCACTCAAATAATAGCTTTCCTTCGAGTGGGAGGTTAAGTGTGTGAGGTCCCTGACGATGGTCAGCCTTGTATTTCATTGTATCACTTTCCATTCCAATCAACCAAGAGCAGCTGATCCAACAAAAGAAAGACCTGGCTTCGAGGAGAGAGAGGATGTGCAGACCCGCTCTGCCCCACTCAGTGCTCATTCCACACAGTCACGGGCGTGCTGAGATGGAGAGACAGCCTCTCATCACTTCATGGATTAGACCTCATTTCATGGGCTTTTAATAAATGGACCATTGAAAACTTCTGTATTCTGACATGGAGAGTCAAATACACAGACATCTTTGGGATGTTAGATTCTTTCATGGTGTGATGTGTGCATTCTGAAGTCTGGCCATTCACTGCACCAATGAGACAAAGATGTCTTTTCTACTTTCTCAGAAGCTATATTTTCATGATTGGACCATTCTTGAAAAAAAGCACTTTCTCTTCTTCCCAGTGGGTTTCTCACTATACGTTCTTATTTTTCCTGAGTGATCTGTTTCTCATGGATGACGCTTGTCACACTGCTACTGGGTCCTGGGTATTTTGCATTAGAGTCCCAGAGGCAGTCTTATTTTGCATCTGCAATATGTGCGTGTTGCCACCAGGTAGCAGTAGAGAGTCTGGATCCAGTTGTTGATGCTGTATGCTTTGCTGATTGGACCATGAAACAGGCACTATCCATTCAGTGAGAATTCACTGAGTATCTGTGAGTAAATATGGGTGAATATCAGGTTTAAGTATATGCTTGTGAGAATAATCGCGCAAAATAAAATTAAGTGGTGTTGAGAAAGACATCTCGTTGCATGGTTAACTATTTTAATTATTGCTGGTGGCGTTTCCTACTCTTTTAAAACATACGTCCATCTGCAGGGGATAAAAAAGTTTCTCTTCGTGGTCTGAAATCTTCCTTTTTATACTAGTTGTCGGTCTCCTTTCTCCCATTCAGACAGTTTGTGTTTGTGTAGGAAAAAAATTTCTGATTTCTTTTGCAGTAGTTTTCAGCTAGGCAAGCCTGTTTCCAGTTTCCTCCAACCTCACTTCCAGATACCATTTATGTTTTCTACCTGCAGAATCCCTCTTTTCTTTCTGGGGAATTATGCCATCACATCTGACGTATCCAGGGATGAGAGGTAAAGTGAAATTGCCTATTTTCCTTTCTCTAAAGAACAGATTTCAGCTTGGAAATGTGGTACAGACAGTGGCTAAATTCACATGTTCATAGGTGTCTCAAAACACAGCAAGACACAACTTTTAGAGTCAGTGCATGTGTTAGTTTCCTGAGGACGCTGTAACAAAGCACCATAAACTGGGTGGCTTAAACAACACACATTTGCTGTCTCACAGTGCTGGAGGCTAGAAGCCCCAAATCAGGGTGTGGGTAGGACTGGCTCCTTCTGAAGGCTATGAGGGAGAATCTGTTTCGCGCCTCTCTCCTAGCTTCTTGGATCCTTAGGTTTTCTCCCTTTGTTTTCACACCACCTTCCCTTCGTGCATGTCTGCCTCTGCGCCCAAATTTCCCCTTTGTATAAGGACACTAGTCATATTGGGTTGGGCCACTCTAATGACCTCATCTTAGCTTGTCTAGGTCTGCAAAGACCCTGTTTCCAAGTAAGATCATATTCTGAGGTGCTGCGCATTAGGACTTCAGCATAATCTTTCTTGTGTGGGATGCAGTTCAGCCCATCACGGTGCCTGACAGAAAAGAAAATGCACCTATCTCATCTGCCTCCCAATCAGAATTCCATCTCAAGTGTTTGCCACGAATCACAAAGGTAGAAACTTTCGAAATATGACACGATATTTACTGTCATGTGGTCTGTTCAGGGAAATTTCTTGGTTAAAGCAGTTCAAATACGGTTCCACTAGTTACCATAATTCACAGCTGAACTATTTGTGTAAATATATACACAATTATAGAAAGAAGAGTTTTATACAAAAATCCATCCCATAAATTTGGGGAATTATTTTGAAGTCACCAAGTGAGGCAGTTGAAGTTGAATGCATTTCCTTACCTTTGTTATAAAGTCACTTTCCTGATCAGAAGAAGTGATAAACTCTTGTAAATGTTGACATCTGCTTCTCTTTTGCCATGTTGTGTACTTGGCCAGCTCCCACGTCGGCGGAGCTGTCCGCCCTGCGGTCTTGCGAGTAGCGGGTGATGACCGGGCTGTCGTTAGCAGGAATGCAGAGGGTGAGCATTAGTGTTCAACCTCTGATTCTTAAAGTTAGGATTTTTTTTTCTCTTTTGGCTTAGACTTTCGAAAGGCAGGCTCGTGGAGAGAGATGAGGCTTCTACAAGTTGATTTAGTTCCCATAACATTTCAAGGGCCAAGCTCGGGGGACTGAATCCAAGTGTTTCTTCTGCATTATAGAGGATGCCTCTACCCACAGGAAGGCTGAGCCGTGGCCTCACGTCCTCAGCGCCCTCTGCTCAGGAGAAGCATCCACTGTAGGGAGAGCCCAGCGAGAACGTGGAAGTTCTACTTCCTCTGCCTCGGGGAATTGTAGGTGAAATAAG